CCTTCAATACTGAGGTTATGTAGCTGCGACCCATGGAGACGAGGGCAAAAAAGGTTCTAATGATTATTCAGGTATTTACAAAGGTTTTCCTATATGAAAATGTTTATAAACGTTATAAATGAAACTGTTCAAGAATTTATCAAATTTTGAGTCTTTCAAGTCGCTACTTGCGGTACTTGGGAAGTTATGAGATTTTAAAAGGGAAAGTGCATTTACGTAAGAACGCTCATTTTTGAACCTAATTCTGTTAAGTATTTAAAAATTAGGATTAAGCGTGATTTACATGCAATTTTCAGGGGCATTCAGCTTCAAATGCTTTCTGTAGACTGTGAAAGCTGGAAGTTACTACTCGAGCATTTGCGGGAAAACGCTTACTTTTGGGGTTAAAAATTTCTGGTAAAACTTAATTAGTGAAATGGACCTCTCAAACCGGGCTATGGAAAAGGTTTCTTGCTTTAGCCAGCTAATTGCAGCAGTTCCCAGAATATTATTTTTTTTATATTGCAAAGGGGGCGAAGTCCTTGACCTATCCGCAATATTGTTGCCCAAATGTGCCCGATGTTAAAATTTTTCGAATAAACCTCGCAAATGTAGGCCATTGGTTTTTCAAATTATACATTTTTCACTTTGGGGCCCACGGAGGGGCAAAACCCTGCTCCGCTTTGAATGTGCCTCAATGGCCCTGTTCCCTGAATAAATCCCAATACGGGTGCCAACTTTCAGCTCGATACCTCGAGATTGCAATCCTTCATACGTGTGCATGTGTGAATTGTGAAAGTGCTCTAGTTTTGGCGCTGTTTTGTGGTCATTAACCAAGCTTTGACGGTTTTCTCCAAGAAAAATCGTGTTTTTCTCGGAAGAAATACATTTAATTGGATTAGTAACTAGTAATTTAACTATGGTGCGTTCGAGACTTACGATGCGGCAGCTGTAGCGCTGGCTAAGACCGACGGATCCATTCCGCCCAAGCCCGGCAATCCCAAGCCAGCCAGATTGGCGAACAAATTCATATTGGACAGATTCCCTAGTCCGCCCATTGATCCCATTGGCAAGCCGGCGAAGGGCATTAGCAAGGGATTGGTCTTGGGATCGAACTGACCCAGATTGGACAAGCCTGACAGCAAGGATGTGTTTAAATTGGCCAATCCAGTGCCGGCTAGTGAAGGAAAAGACATGCTCGCAGACATCGACGTAGGCACATTGGCTGAACTGACGCTTGATGTGGACCCAGTAGGACTGGACAGTAAGGGTGGCCGTCCAGAACTGCTGGATTTCTGTTTGCCACTTCCAGACATGCCGCTCATGTTGGACACTAGATAATTTATGATTTATTATTTTCATGTGGGAAATTGGTCTTTGCGGAGTACTCACTTTGCCCAGACATCCTCTTGTGGAGATCCGAGCCCAAATTGCCGCGTTCTTTGACCAGCTCGGACCATTTGGGGTCGATGTCATACATCTGGTTCTCCATCAGCCATTGGCCCAGTCGCTTTAGAGTTGGGGCCTTCGGCCCAGTCAATTTCTTCCCGGTTACCCGGTTGATGACAGACACGTTCTCATCGCCAGTCAGTTTCTTCCAATCTAACAACGTCGGATCTACTCGAGGTCTTCGTCTTCTGGTCGACAAATAGTCGGCACCTAACGGCTGCTCGGCTAGGGCCATATTCTGTTCGGCCAGCCATTTGTTTACTTTCGCCTCATGCGAGTAGGTGTTCACTTTGGAACCGATATCAGCAATCATTGCCTAGATAAAGAAGAGAATTGATTGAAATTTTTCCATCAGAATATTGCAGTGTTCAGACTGATGGTAGTTTATTTCGTAAAAAAGAACGAATTCTTGATCAATAAACCGCTGCAGCTCACCTCGTAACTCTTCCGCTGTTGCTGCTGTTGCTTCTTCAGCATGATGTTCTGTTGCTGCTGTTCAGCTTGCGCCAAGAAGTTGGACAGGCTGTCCTTAGAAGACAGGCCCGCCATCATGCCAGACATCGGGTTGTTTCTGCTCGATCCCTGCGAAACTGACGGTACCGAAGTTACGGTAATCGTGAACGGTTTCTGCGTAGGGCTGTGCGAGGAGGAAATTGGGGCTGTGGTTGGTGTGACCGTGACACTCGGCGTGACTGTGGGCTTTTTAGTAGACTCCGGGTAAAGAGACTGTTCTTTAGCGGCTGAAAGCCCCAGTACGATCTCGTCCAACTTGCGGCGTTTCTTCTCTTTGCCCACTAGTGGTTCTGGTTCCGGCTGCAACAAAACCCCGGTTAGTTCAACCCGTCCCAATCAGTTGGTCCGTAGAATACTCACGCAGTTCTTTCGTTTCATCAGCTTTGATAGAGTATCGTCCAACTTGGTGCCTGCTTTAGAGGGACCAACACTGCTGATGGATGTTGAGGATTTTTTGATGGAAAAGTCTTGTACTTCGTTCTGGATGTCGATTGATAACTTGTCGGGTATTTTCGTCATTCTGCAAATGTAAAATTGGGTTCTATGAGGAATCGGTATGCCACAAATGTTTCCTTTGTAGTGCTAGTTAAGGCCTGAAGTATTTGGAAAAATTAGTTCTAAGAACTTTTCTGAAGGTTTGGGTTTGAAAGTTGAAATTTTCACTGGCGGGTCAGAAAAATGCTTCCAGGTCTTAAAGCCCAAATTTTGAGGCAAAAGAGGTAATTTATAGCACTCTGGTTTTGGGTTTTGAAGTTGAAAGTCGATTTTACAGCTGCCTTTAATTGAAATTGCTGGTTAAACTATTGATTATAAAGTCGGCATTTTGTCAAAACTGGCAATTTTTGGACTAAGCGTGATCATTCAGTAATCAAACCTACCCAGAGCTGAGATCAATTGGCGTTAAAGTACTGCTCGTCCCCGGTATCACAGTGGTCTGACCGATGGTCTTTGTGGTCAAACTCTGCTGATATTTGCTGGTGAAATCAAATGGCATCGAACTCATCCCCATATTCAGGGTGGAAGTGCGATGCTGATGAGCGGGAGGAGGCTGCAGCGCCCCTTGGGGCGTCGATCTGCGGGAATCCTCCGAATCATCATCCCATTGCGACTTTGAGGTCGCCGTATGACTGCTGTTGAGCAACGCATGAAGTTTGGCTCGCTCAGTCTCCACGTCTATAGCAATGTGCCTTTTTCGCTTATCGGCCAGTCGTTTGCCCAAGCTAATGTCTATATCTGGGGTGGAGGCTTCGCGTTTTGGAGGGTCGTTTGGCAGCTCGTGAATGGGGATGTCGAACTCGTTGCCGATTCCAGTGGCGTAGGCCGAGAAGCTTTTGGGAGCCGGCCACTCATTAGTCTCCACCGCGTAGATGATGTGCTGCAGACGCACTTGGATGGCGTATTCCTTCGGCCACTTTACGACGTTGTTGAAGAGCTGCGCCACTGTGGTTTCGCTGAAATCCAGCGCGCCAGTCGGCGTCGGTTTATCTTTTAGCACGAAAGTGTCCACTTGAGATAGTCGAGAAAGCGGTTGGATCACCTCCAAGTCCGGGAACATTGCTTTAAGCTCCGCCGCTTGCTTGGAGCATAAGTCGTTCGCTGATATTTCCTCTTCGGTTGGTTTCGGGTCCTTCGGTGGCTCTTCTACTCTTTCCACTTTTTCCACGACCTCCTCCTTCTCCTTTTCCTCCTCTGGGTCCTTTGGAGGTTCTTTCTCCTCTTTTTCATCACTGGCTGGCGCCTCGGGCTCCGCGGCTGGTTCACTGGCGGTCTTCGGCTCCTCCACCGGTGCCTCCACTTCCGCTGCAACAGCTTCTTCCACGGTTTCGCTTGGGGGGCTCTTTGCCACCTCCTCCACCGCGTCAGGGGCTTTTTCCTCAACCTTTTCGCTTGCTTCCTCGCTGGGTGGAGGCGGCGATTTCTTCTCCTCGGGCACGCTTTCTTTCTTCTGCATCACTTTTTCAATTTTCAGCGTTCCCTCGCCTTTTTCCAGTTTAACCAGAATCTCATCGCGGTCGAACTTCAGAATGTCCTCGTGGCTTTCCAGCTTGATGGCGCCTTTCACGTCTTGCGAATCCGATGTTACTTTCTTGCGCAGCACGTCGTGGAAGGAAAACTCCGGATCGTTTAGAAGGCAGTGGTCAGTTTTTCCAAGGCCATATCTGCAAAGAACACAGTGGGTTTATTTCAAAACAATTCAGCCTTATTGATTATACAGCAGTACTTCTTGACAATTCTAAAACGTGCATATTTTTTACTCGAAAACTCAACAGTTTTTTGTTAGGAACCTAAAGTTTGCCAGGGTACTTCTGTATCAGCCAAAAGGCCAGAGTTATTAGTTGTCAAACATAGCTGGTTAAAATATTGAAACTTACTTGCCGACACCAATCAGCAGCTCTTTGTCGTGTTTGCCGGCGATCCACCAATCAGGCATGTCGGCCGAAGTGACGCACACTTGGAGTCTCTCGTCCAGCTTCGGATGCGTCAAAATCTCCTCCCGGATCCGAGAAAGCAGCTCCAAACGCTCCAGAGTTCGGCGCGCCTTTTCTTCGCTCACATGCTCAATGGTCGAATCGTAGCTGCCATCGTCCATGTGAATCCCCGTCTGTTTCTTGCACATGATCACGAAATGCTTGTAGTATTCGGTCAGTTCTTCGTCCGGCTTTTTCTCCAGCTTGGCCGATTGCTTGAACTTTGACCAGTCGTACTTTTTGGTCTTGCGATGGTAAATGACGCCGTATGAGGAAACGACGCGGAAGAAATCCGCCTCCTCTCGCTTGGTCCATCTTTTCGAGATGGTTTGGCGCTCGCGCTCCTTTGCTGACTCTTTCAGCGCCTGCTCCAACGCTTGCTTACCCTGTCGCTCCATCTTCTGAAAGTGTAAGCATCAAATTTCCCACATTTAATCAGCAATCGATTAGTAAACCACTGGAAGGCAAGGGATTGTTAGTAGAAGATTCAGGATAGAGGATTGAGGAACATGCGAAAAGTTCACTTACCAGGAGATAGAGCGCTAACTGCTGCAAGTCCCAGCCTTGCAGACCCATGGAGGCTGCCGCGTCTCTGGAGTCGAACTGCTGAGTAACTTGCGCTAGCGCTGCCAATGGGGAGGATAAGGCCGAAGCGTCCAGTGCGGACTGTTGCTGTTGCTGCTGCTAGCAAGAACGGTTGGAGAAAATGGTACTAATCTACCCATCAACAGCCACAACGCTCATGCACAAGAGAGCATGGGATGTATGGGGGTAGTGAACAATTTAAAAAATCGAAAATCTGTAGGCGGCACTTCAAAGTATCTCGATAATGTTGTTTTCCTTTTTTTGGGCAATTTTTTTGGACATTGGCTGATGTTATAAAGCTGCGAGAAAAGACTTCCGAATATTCTCGGAGTGTTAATTTAAGTTTGTCCGATAGCTGGTACATAGTGTCCCAATCATGCGGCTATGATGTTTGTTTGGCATGATCCTACCACTCAGACTTGGTGGAATTCTTTAGGTACTTTGAAGTGTGGCGTACCAATCGCTACATCGATTTCCCAAAGCTGGCTTACCTTGGCCTTTGTGGCCTGCAGCTTCTGTTCCTCCTTGCGGTAGTTGCGCTGATAGGAGGTGATAACGCGGCGAAGTCTCGTGTTCAAATCGGTCATAGTCGGCCAAGTCTTGTCTTCGTTTGCATCTTCCTTAATGTCGTCGCCCTCCAACTGCTGGCTCTCCGAGCAAGCGGACGGGCCTGGGGAAGGTTCCGCGATTTCCGAATTTACCTCCGAATTGTCGCGATTGCGCGACTTAAGACTGGACTCCTCATTGGTGTCCTCGTCGTCTATGTCGTCCTCATTGCTGAAGAGAAAATATATGTATTATCAACCTGGTTGGGACTTAGAAGGGTGATTTGCTGGATCGAGCAGCATGAATTTAGCGGGGGAAATGACCGAAGGTCTTTACCTATAGAGGGGACAGGGCCGATTTTTGGTTAGAGTTCGATACTTACTACAGTTAGTGATGATATAAAGAAACTGTAATAGAAACGTATGATCAATAGAATCCCAGCAATTTTAAATACAAGCACATAAAGATAGTTAAAAAGACTAAGTCTACCAAAAGCTGTAGCAAGAAGTGTTATACTCACTTAGGCAGTTGAAGGGGCGTGGCCGGTTGCATGTTTGAAGCGTTGTGCATCTGGATCTCCCGGTCTGAGGGAGGCCCACATCGGGACAGGAAACACAAGGCGGGATCTTGACGCATCGCTGTGTAATTCTCGTAGCCATGTTTCCACGTCCCGATCAGCAACGACTTGTCGAACTCAGAGTCCCACCACACGGCAGGCAATTGCTCCGTAACCGGGGGGAATATCGGCAGGGCACTGTAGACACGCACACATGGAATAATCGCCAATTGTTAATTTTGATTCTTACATTCTTTTCTTTTGGTTTTTTCTCATCAACAACTCTTAGAGGTACTTCAGATGGATTTCTTTGCCGCCTAACTCTACACATCCCTAATACTGTCTAAACAACTCCTAGTCTACAACATACCTAGTCGCATGCCTAAGCCAGACTGGTCGAAGTCTGTTAATACTCCCATTCTACATAGAAGTCGGTTTAAAGACGCGCTTGAAAATGCCCCCTTGAAAGACAAGTGCGACAAGGACTTTTTACTACCCGTTTTTTTTGTGATTTTGTTCTAAGATATAGAATTCTAGAATGTTTTCAATGTGCTTTTTAATTATGCTGCATAAATTGTTTTCGCTCTTTCCAATACAAGAAGTTGAAGACTGTTATTTTCTATTGCTTGCGAGCAGATAATTCTCATCTTGAGAGTATTTGAACTAGAAATTTAGAGGTGTTGAAAGAGGAACTATTCGTTAGTCTAGGAGACGCGAAGTAGCGAATACCCAGTTGAAAGATACTGTTTTTATTAATAGAAAAGACAATACGTAAACTCTACAAGGAAGACCTGAAGCAACTTTTGACTCGACTTTTGTTTCATTTGGTGCGAAAGATCAGTTTAATGCACTAATCAAAGCAGCGAATAGATTAAGACGTAATAAGAAACGACATTCAACACCTCTACTATAAAGAGAATTTAGTTGATTTTTTGTGTGGCCGCTTAGAATTCCATCTGAAGTATCCAGAAAAGTCTGATAGTAGTAGAAGGTTTCTCAAAAATAATAATTTGGTTTCAAGTGCCGTACCGCTAATTTTGCCAGACGTTTACATATGAGAATGAACTTTCAAGGAACCGAGACCTGTTTTGGGGAAGTTTGCCATACCATTGCCCTGCTGCGTAGCCTCTCGCGATCGTATCCGATACGGAGACACCCTGTATTTTTCAAATCGCATGCGGTATAGCCCCAACACTTGTTATTATTTTTGAAAAACTTCATTCTCATATATAACACATACTTAAATACGAGGGATGTTGGGAACCATAACATGATACATATTAGTGTTAAAACGGGAGTATATAAGCGATAAGCCGGTGATATAGGGAATATATATGTAAATATATATGGTAAACGAGTTATCATCTAAATGCGAAAAGCATTGGCATGACCTCGATAAGCATCATGCAAAATACAGACAGACTCACCATATACTTGTACGCAGTGAGGCTGATATGGCTGATTTTTTTAACAGTTACAAGTATATGGTGGACAACAAATGTAAGCTGGTGTCCCAACCATCGGAATTAATAATAGAGATAAAATGATCAATGTTCAAATCCTTACCTTGGGCTTTTTAGAACTAGACAGCTTTTAATACCCTTAGCAGGATGCCCCAACATTGATCTAGCACTGGGACATTCTGCTTTCAACGTGTGTACAGAGTGGAAGATTCAGATTCAAAAAATTCGATATTTTTTAATCTACTGAGGAATGTATTCAATTGCCAAACAATTTCGTATTTACTAAATAAATTAATCGTCTCTGGGTGTCCATGCTGTCCAGAAACTCGGTCCAAACCTACCACCCTGTATACTGTGAAGGTTTCAAAACATTTGGACGCTTCCTATGCTAATTAAAAAAAAATCGACATCTAGACGCTTACCTAGCTTGCACCCCATCGGTAATATGTTGCACCAAATCCCCGATAATCTCGTGCTTGATGTAGTACAGCATTCGCACGCGAAGTAGGACTCTGAAAGCACCAAATCACGTTACGCTCTAGCTTAATTCCACTACATCCAATTGGCTTAGGAGCGAATAGCTCAGTTTAGTGAAGATTTTTGTTTCAATGAATACCTACGTATTCTCGAAATTAGCATGAAAGTCATCATTGCCATGCGAAGCATTAATCGGGCAAACAAGCAACTACTCACTTATTAGCATGCCGGCCGAGATGCTTCTTGTAGTTGTTCTCCAGGAAAATGTCCCCATCGTACTTCTCGTCCTTGCTCCAATGGTTGGGATCGGTTAAGGCAGCATGCCTGGTGTCCTTGCTGGGTTTCTTCTTGTGCTTGTTCCGTATTCCCCTGGGCACCGGGTCCTTCAAGCCTTGATGGTTTCGCGATATTTTCTGCTCGCCTCCCTCGGACGGCGCGATCAAGTCCCAGATAAAGTTGCGGATTTTCTCGTCTCCTCGATAGAAACGCAGGCAGAACAACAGCTGGAAGAAAACGTTGGCATTTTTGCGATAAGTAAAGGCACAAATTGACTTACAATGACGCGGGCACAGTCCTCAATGTCTGGTTCTCTCCAGCCGCGTCGTAGTTGGGAATTCTGCAGAATCTCCAGCCAACGGCCCCATCCGAAAGTGAGCAATCCCCGCTCCACCATGAAACATTCCCTACGCGACCAACTTCCATAGACCATCTCCCCTTTTTCTCCCTCCCTGGGATAGTAATCGTCACCTCTTAGTTTCTTCTTCTTCAGCTTGTTGCGTCTGTTGCCTCTCAGGCCAGTTGGGTCGTTTTCTGGATCGGAATCAGAAGAGCTTTCCAACTCGGACATGTCCAAGGCACTCTCATCATGGCCGTAGCGTTTGATTTGTGTGCGTCGTCTCGGCTCTGACATAACCAGATCTTCCGTTTCGTCTTTTTCCGTTGTGTCGATGTCGGCCCGTTTTGCCCATTTGCTCCAGAAGTCCGGATCGTCGAGGTCTATATCGGAGCGGCTGGCGCTGGATGCAAAACTAGCCTTGGAGAACGTGGAGCCTTTCTCCGACTCCATGGTGATCACTTGAGTGCGCCTAGCTAGGATAACGTCGATGTCTTCTTCGCAGAATTTGTCGCCGTCGTTTTCTTCATCCAATAGGGCGCCGTACGCGCCCTTTTTCAGGAGATCTTCGATCTCCTTTTTGCTCAGTTGCCGATGCCCGGAGCCCTTTTCTCCTTGCACCGTATTCATGCTTTGCAAAATGGCTTTATCCAGGCCCAGCTTCAGCGAGGCTTTGTCGAACATTTCCCGCTCGTAGGTATTCCTGCAAAGTAGTCGGTAGATTTTCACCATTTTTTGCTGCCCGATTCGATGGCATCTAGCCTGGGCTTGCAGATCGTTCTGCGGATTCCAGTCGCTGTCGTATATGATGACTGTGTCGGCCGCGGTGAGATTAATGCCAAGGCCTCCCGCTTTGGTGCAGAGCAAAAAGACGAATCGATCGGAGTCGGGTTTGGAAAATCGGTCAATGGCCGCCTGTCGAAGGTTTCCTCTAATTCTTCCGTCGATTCGCTCGTAGGGATATTTTCGGTACATCAGGTAGTCTTCCAGGATGTCCAGACATTTAACCATTTGACTAAATACGAGCACTCGGTGGCCGTTGGCTTTGAGCTTGGGCAAAAGTTTGTCGATCAAGACCATTTTTCCGCTGGAATGGATGAGGGCTTTGTAGTAGGCGTCGGGGTCTTCGCCGTTCTGCTGCTTGAAGTCGTACTGAATCTGATCCTCAGCCCCATTTAACAGGTAGGGGTGAATGCAGCATTTGCGCAACTCCATCATGGTGTTCATCAAGTTAGGGATGTTGGAGTAGGTTGTGCCTTTGGTTAGGAACGAAAAATTGCGCTCCAGAATTCCTCTATAGTACTTTTTCTGTATGTTGGTCAGCTCCACTTCCACTACAGTCTCTTCTTTTGGCGCCAGCGATTTTTCTACGTCTTCTTTCAGTCGACGAAGCATCATCGGCTTCAGTAGGCATTGCAGCTTGTGCACTTCTTGCTCAGTCTTCAATGAGCCGAACTCCTTTAAAAATGCCTCCGATTTGGTGAACTGAGTCGGTTCCAGAAAGTTGAGCAAGGAAAACAACTCGTTCACGTTGTTCTGCAAGGGGGTGCCTGATAGGAGAACGCGATGCTCGAGAGTGAGCTGGCGCAGGCCTTCCAATAGCTTGCAGTTGCGGTTCTTCAGTCTGTGGGCCTCATCAATGACGCAGAGTCTCCAATTGAAGCTCTTTAAGTCGGCAAAGTCGGTGACAATAATCTCAAATGTGGTGATGAGAATGTTGAACTTTGTAAGATCTTTAATGTGCTGTCCCTTGTCGCTTTTGTAGTACATCTCATATTCCTGGATCATGTTCCTGCTGGTTGCCGATCCGTGGTACACGATAACATTCAGATCGGTCCAGCTTTCAATTTCCCTTTGCCAGTTAGGGATTGTGGATAGAGGGGCGATGACGAGGAATGGGCCTCTGATGCCATACTCCCACACCGCGTGAATAAATGTGAGGCTCTGAATGGTCTTTCCCAGTCCCATTTCATCAGCTAAAATGCAATTGCGTCCATTAAACCATGAGAAGAGCAGCCAGTTGAGGCCCTCCAGTTGGTATTCGCGCAGACTGTTGCCTCCCTTGTAGATCGGTGATTCGTCGAGTTTCATCCAGCCCTCTGGGCTGGGTCTTTTCTTGGCCTTCCACTTGTCCTTTGGGGGCAACTTGGAGAATTTTTCATATTGCACGATTTTAATCGGATCCACGTCCTCCTCTAGTTCCCAAGTGCAGTCTTCGTACTGCAGAGAGCGCCACTTGACTAAATAATGCCGCACAGTTTCGTTGGTGGCTGGGTCGATGTGCGATGACTCATCCAATACGCGATCCACTTCCACATAGTCCGGGTTGAAAGACTCTTCGTCTAGCGTCTCAAAAATGTTCAGTAACTGCGACTGCTTTTGCTTGAAGCGCTTGATCTTATTCGCTATACGTTTATCGCCCTTGAATAGCTCGTCCTCGGTCTTCCATTCGCAATGCAAATAGGAAAAGTTGCGGTATTTCACATAGTATTCCTCCACCTCCACAGTTTCTGTCGGCTCTTCGCCCTGCGGCTTCGGCTCGATCTTCTCCGTCTTAAGGTCGTCCGTTTCCTCAACCCCCTCCACTTGGATGCTGGTTTTTTCCTCATCTTCCCCTTCTGGTTGAGGCGGAACTTTTACGTCTCGCGTGGACATTCTGGAAGAGAGCACGTATTGCACCACCATGCTATCGTCATCCGACGTATTCACATAGACGTAGTTCATGCCCTTGCCTGGATCGGTGCTGGAGCCTAAAGCCAGAGCGTCTTCTTCAGTTTCGAGTGATGCCAAAGAAGTGGAGGGTATGGCTTGGGCCATCATGGGAAGAATCGGTTTGTCCGGCACTAGAGGCTTGCGGCTGCGAGGCGTCGGAGGGGCGTCATCGTCAGAAAATCGAAGCATAACATCGTCAATGTATTTCTTTCTTTGGGTGTTCCGGGCCGAACGTCTTTTACTAGAGTTGTCATCCTCCGGAGGAGAAGGTGGCGGAGTGGCGATAAAGTCCTCGCCCTCCCCATCGGATTCCATCGGGCCCTTCTTGCGGCTGCGTTTTGATCCGGATTTGGCCCGCGACTTTGACCCCGACGAGGATTTCTTAGGGGCGCTGCGCGCTTTTTTGGCCCTCTTCGGCATCTCCCCAATTTCTTCGTCCATTTGGGACTCGTCGAAGGCATACTCGTCCTTCTTGGCCTCGTCACTTGACTCTGGAAGCGGACCATCGGCTGGAGTTTGCGAATCCGCCTGCATTTCTTGCGGCTCGTCGTTCTCTTTTGAGTCGGTGCTTTTGAGGATTTCTTGAGAAGACTCCGGTTCCTCAGAAGTCTCGGCCTTGGCTTCAGCTTCTTCAGATGAGCATTGTTTTTCTGGAGTAAACTGGTCGGGATCTTCGGACGCTTCATCGGCGTCTTCGCCCGATTTCTTCTTCCGCACGTACTTGCGCTTGAGCTTTGTCTGGTCGGGCGTGTCCTTGAGGGACTTCTTGCGCTCCTTCGGTGGTTTGGGTTCTTTGGGAGTTTTGGGCGGTTTTTTCGGATCTTTAGGCTTTCGACCCCGCTTTTTCTCCTCGGCACTTTGTTCCAAGGCAAAGTCCATGAACTCGCACGTTTCGCTCGACGGCAAGTTTAAGCCAGCGCCTGGCGTGACGAAATCCTCGGAGACCGGCAAGCTCTGGATGGATTCGGCGTTTTTCTCTGCTTTTTTCGAGCGGGGCTTCCTAGGCTTGTTTGCTCCCTTGCTTCTTCCTCTGCCAGTCGTGCTGGTCACCTGAGGACTGTCGATCATAGGCGATATAAACATGGGATTTTGAAGAATGCACTGTGAGCCGCCATTGCACTGCTCCGTCGCCTCGTGCTGGCTGAGGATGTTCAACTTCTCCTGCAGGTTGATGATTTTTTCCTGCAGCTCGGGGGCTGGAGGCATGCAATAGAGCTCTTGCAGCTGCTGCTGCAAGGCGGCGCGCTCCTGCTGGTGGCTGATGGGTGGCTGGTACTCCATTGGCAAGTGGCCGAGGTTGGTAGGGAGCATCGGATGCCCCAGACCTTGAGGCAATGGCCGCGCCATCGAGCCCATAATCCCCATAGGGTTGGTGTCGTAGCCAATGGGGATGTTAGTTGGGACTGGTTGCGGATGCAGATTGGTTGGCGCGTTCATTCCCATGATAGGGTGGGGGGCCGGCTGGCTGTTGATGGGAGGCGGCGCAGGCACATCGGGTATAGTTGGCGCCGCTACAGCCGTCCCAGAGTCCTGCGATTGGCTGTTTTGGTTAATCAGGCTCGAAATGGAGTGCTGCTCTTGCATGGGGTGCTCTGGCAAGGGGCTGGTGGCTTGAACCGGCTCGGCCATCGGGCTGAGCATGTTGCTGCTGACGTTTTGGTGTGACTGAGTGGGGGAAGCAGGCGAACTCTCCTCCACAGCAGTCGGTTGAGGTTTAATGGGTGGCGGTGGTTCAGTGCTTTCGTGCTTTGGCAGCGAATAGCCCTGATTTTGAAAGGTCGGAGACGGGGCAACGCTGTCCGAGGACTTGATCGACTCGGGCACGCTTTCCTGGGACAACGAATTTTCCTGGTTGTAAGTGAAAACGCTGGGTTGCGCCAGATCTTCGATTTTATACCCCTTGGGGCTGGTCTGGCTGGAATAGGTGGGGGTGTTGACCCGCCCAAACCCGCTTACTGAGTCGTAAAGGCGGCTGCCCGCATTGGACGTGCTGATCGTCACGTTGTTCTCACTCGGGGCGTCCCCGAGTACAGTCAGACTGCTGGTATTTTCCTGCATGTTTGCAGCGTTGTCGTCAGTTGTAGAGGTGGGGGTGGGCGTGGACGGATGCGAAAGCCCCGTAGGCCCCAAACTAGCCATACTAGGCTCCAAATTGGTGGTGCTGCTGGGAATGTTGGGCGATTGCACCGGCGCAAACTCGTGTCTGATTGGACTGGGCTCCAACTCTTTGGTCTCCCGAACCGGCGACGGGATTCTCGCATGATCCTCGAGTTTTTCCCCCAATACTCCAGCTCGCTCCTCATACATCGAGGCAGGCGTGGCGGGTATGCTAGAGGTGGCCGCCGGCAATTGCGTAGGCATCAGCGACTGAGTGGCCGGAATGCCTTGCTGATTGGTCACTTGCTGCTCCATCAGGCTGTTCATGCCGTTCAGATTGGTCAGATGGGGCTGCGCCTGCACCTGCCTTGGGCTCTGCGGCGGCGGCCATTGCTCGCTCATCTGGTTGCGCATCACGTTGTTCAGGGAGGGCGATTGGGGCAGCCCCAAGGTGTTGCGCGATTGATAGGCCGGGTACTCCGCCATGCCGCTTTGGGGCGGCATCACCATTTGCTCCAAGGCCTGCAGCGTGCTTTGCTGCGAGTAGCTGGCGCTCTTGGGCGGCAAATTAGCTGCAGGGCGCGGACTCATGGCCTGTTGCTGCATCTGGGCGTGTTGCTGATGTGGCGACATGTTGGGCTTGGCGGGCGACATCACCGGCCGGGGGGACACTTGCGGCGCCTGCGGTCTGGGGGACATTTGAGGGCGAGGCGACATCTGGGGCGACAGTTGAGGAAACGGCGCCCTATACTGTGGACTGGAGTTGCCCACTTGGTGCTTAGCAGCGAACTGCTGCTGCGCACTGGCCTGCATGTCCACCACGGGCCGTTGCAGCGGCTGCAGCGCCTGCTGGTGGCTCTGGTTATAGTTAACCATGCCGCCAGGGTGCGCTATTGGGTTTTGGGGCGGCGGCGGCTGTTGCTGTTGTTGCTGCTGCTGCTGTTGCTGTTGGTGGGGCTGATTCAGGTGGCCGGGAGTGGGCACTGAATGCGGTAGTGGCTGAGTGTGGCCCATCTGCGCGTATTGTTGGTTTTGAAGCTCGATCTGGTGGTGGGCTTGAGGGTATTGGTGATGATGTGGCATGCGCTGGTGCACGTAGCCGCCGTACGCCTGGTTGGGCGGCGTGCTGGGATAGGTGGGCGCTTGCGGGTAGCCGTGCGGGGTGTGTCTTTGGGCCAGCTGATAGGGGGCCTGGTGGCTCTGCTGCATCATGGGGTGCTGGCTGGTGGGGAACTGCTGCTTCTGCTCCTGCTGGTGCGGGTAGCCGGTCATTGGCTGCTGCCTATATTGGGTCATTTGGGGGTATCTGAGTGACAAATTATTACGCTATTAATTCTCTATATAGAAGCTTTTTCCGTCGGTGCATGGAACGTAAGCGTCGCAAAGTAGTTTGGTTTTCGGATAGAGCAATCGTGACACAGCTTCAATATAATGCTAATCATTTTAACTGCAAATCAAAATTAATCCCTGGGTTTCAGTCATTTATTGTCTCTATTTACCAATTTAAATACGTTTCGGTGTTTTCCACCATCATCAGTTTTTTTAAATTAACAGATAGTTAAACGTATTTAAATTGATAAATAGAGACAATAAATGACTGAAACCCAGGAATTAATTTTGATTTGAAATTGAAACACAGTCACGAAAGTATGTACAATCATTTTAACATCATACAAGCGTATGCAGCAACCGCAGAAGGTGATGACGAGCAAATAGAGAGCTTTATAACGATCTAGATCAGGTTGCCGCAAAATTTAGGCGCAACCGTCCTTGAAAAATTCTCGAAAAGAGCACGTCTGTGCCAGCAAAGCCGAGGCGGACTTGTCCGATGTGTTATTCCATTCATAACCCCATGAAGTGTACTTTATTTTTCAATAAATGTTTCAAACTTATGCCCCAATAATGATAGAAGCGCCCGGATAATTTCAATAGAGCCTTTGGAGGGAGGGCTGGAGAATGAGATTTTGATGCAATGAGCAACAGTTTTATTAAGTGATTTTTTCTCGGATTTTTTGTTCAGTAAATATCTTTAGAAAAATTAAATGAATTCGGTTGTTAATTTTAGTTTTGGTGTTGTGCAGTGATCACTGCAGCTGAATGGAATTGAGGCAAATATAAATGGCTCCAAATTTTAAATTAAATTCGAGAAAGGTCGGCACTTGGGGCGTTTTTCGTTCAATTGTAAGTTGGAACGTGAAATTTGCCTTTGAGAATATTGCACTTTCTACAAAAATGTCAACAATAAACAAAATGAAATCGAACTGTCGAAATCGAAATAATCATATCTATTCTGTACTTCGGTGTATTTTGTTTTCGAAAGTGTTTGGATATTTAGTTTGCTACCGACAGGGCACAAAATCGGTCCATAATCCTGTATGCCGTTAGAATCGCGTTCACATCGTAGTTAGTGAACGTGTAGTAAAAAATTCGAATAATAATGGGTAGAAAATGGAGGATGGGGCGCCAGCTTGCAGAAATCAGATAAGAATGATCGCTAATATATAAACGTTTTAGCACTTGAAGTGAGTTTAGTTTCCCGACAGGCAACTGAACTTTTATGGATTCTCTATATTCCTCTCTCTTTTCCTTGCTGTTTAGACATAAGTTTGGCTTTGAACAGATTTTCTGTTATATTGAACACATTTTTCATTTCATCACACATTTCTTTGCAGGTGGCACGATGCAGCTTTCGGTAAGCTTAGCTTAGTAAACTTTGCCTCTGGTTGTGATGTACATGTGAAACTTTTGGACCCATATGCATCAACTGACTCGTAGGTATCGATTGGTTCTTTCGTAATTAATTTTTAAACTTTGAAAATATTTTGGGCGGCTTTGTAGTTTTTATATCAAGCTCAGTATGTAATACAAGAGTCATCAGATTAGTGATAGTGTGGATTTGGTTACGACCAAACCATTGACTCCTTCACAAGAAATTTTTAAACTTTGGGAATATTTCGGACGGTTTTGTATTTCTACAGCAAGCTCATCTGAAGCTTGTCTCCAAAGAATATATAGGGATGGGTTCCAGTTTTATGTGTTTTGTTAAAAAAAAGTTAAGAGTTTTAGGGTTGCCTGCTTTTTTAAATTGAGAAATCGACTAAAACATGACGCCGCCTTTTTCAACATTGTTCAAGAACCATTTGGGCCACAGAGTTCGTTTTTATATCATTGGATAGAGAATCGGTAATTCGATTCACTTATAACAACATGATTGAGTAAATTCTGGTGAATTTGTCACAAAAAGTCACACGAAATTTGAATATCAGACATTTAGGCCCGTATTTATAAACGATACTCAGCTCATGCTTGGATAAGTACGAGATCGTTCTGAAGCAAGAGAGATGATTTATAAACAGTACTTCGTGAATTCTCGGCGAAGTACCGGTCGAGTATAGATGTATAGGGACTTTTTCGTATTTATTTGGTAATTTTATATATATTTATATATTTGGTGTTATTATGTAAATATGTCTTTTGAATCGCTGAAGGACTGGCTAAGATCACGAAGATCACCGGACACAAGCTACAATATATTATACACTTTATGTAAGAAAGTAGACATGGAATCATAGAAACATTGCTACTTGTTGTATAGAATCTCTAGAATAGAAAGCTACTWGTATAGAATCTGGAACAKACCAGCAAYTGAGTAATGGGTGATATGTGATATTGGTAGTCCACGATTATCCGCTTGGTCCAAAGGCTCTATTGAATGAGATTTAGCGGAGAWATCGTGGGACAACAAACAAAGTGGATATCGCGATTGATTTACCTGTGCATAGCTGGATAGCCGGCAGCTGCATGCTGGCCCCAGCCTGCTTGCATGGCATTTGCATCGTTCATTGGGCCGACTTGTATGTCGGACATCGAGTACATCGTGTCGGCCGTGGCCTGATAGGGGTACTGGTTGGGGCCAGGGGGCGCGACTGGAGGGCGTGGCACCTGCCTGGGATGGCCGTAGGAGCCGCCCGGCGGTCCCATAGGAGGGCGTCCATCGCCTCCTGCGCCATAACCTTGAGCGTAGACGCTCTGCTGAGTATTCGGATCCATGTGGGAGAATGTGGTGCTGCTCGAACCGAACGTTGCCAATTTTTGTAGGGGAGTTTCCTGCGAGTACGTTGGCTGCGAGTAGGCTGTAGGCGCATTTCGGTCACCAGTCACCGCAGGATCGAGGTGCACTGAGCCCAACTCGGGCAGGTTTTCCAACATGCCACCGCTTCCATCTTCCGCGAACAAGTCGTATGAATCCATCGCTTTAGGCGGAACATATCGTTTCTTTGCTGCTCATCTCATAGAACCATCGCTGTTGGACAAAGAGTGGTTTTATTCGCCCGGTTTACCAATACGCTTTGAATTAAATTATCGATGGCAAAACCAGGGTTGGTTTGATTTTTTTCAAGTGATTTCAATCACTTGACTTTTTTGGAAAAAAATCACGATTTAAATCAAAATTCATTTTTTCAAGAAACTTTATATTTCCACTCAAAAAATAAAAAACAGAACACAAATAATTCTAAAAAATGAAAATCAAAATAGAAAACGGTGCATGTGAACTTACAAATTAAACGGTATTAATGGTAAACTCAATAATACTAAAACGGAAATCACTTCTCTTTCTCTTCATTTTCGTTATAAAGTATGAAGAGGAACACTAATTTCCCTCCTTTTTCGATTCCCAATCTGTTCCTGATATCCGAATGTGCTCAACATCCTTTCGACAGACACAGAAGATGCAGTGGCACAAAGAAACTGTTTTATAGTGGGCAAGTGTTTTGCAAATTCCGGTTTATCTCTCTGTGATGGCCACCACTGAAGTCCGTTCACATTTTTCAGCA